AAGGAAGGAAGGAAGGAAGGAAGGAAGGAAGGAAGGAAGGAAGGAAGGAAGGAAGGAAGGAAGGAAGGAAGGAAGGAAGGAATGTGGATATATGCATTATCCAAACTATATATTAATTACAAGCCAGAAAACCTGATGGAATTACATAACTGATTTGTATTTTATATTTTAATTGCTGTGAAGATACATTATCTACATCCAACATGGGCAATAATTTAGTATAATGGTTAAGGTTTAAGAGTAAGACTAGATTTGGGAATAAGGTTCAATTCCACTCTTAGCCATAGAAGCTCATTGGATGATGTGTAGTCAGTCCATCTATATTCTTAGCTCTGGCTTTTTTTTAAATGACAGTGTTGTACCAGCACACAATATGCTATCCTCCTTTTGAACATTGATGTGATGTCACAATGCGGGTACAAGAGAAGCAGAAGTTCTATCATGACACTGTTTCACTGCTTCCATTAGACTGAATGTTTTGATACCAGCTCATCTGTGAATACCTCTGAGTCTGTCACATCCCAATCTATGTTAGAGATTGATTGATGTGAAGATAAGATGAAAGAGTTACCATGAGCTCCTGAAAAAAAAAGTTGGATATATATCTAATGAATAAATATCAAATAACAACAGATGGAGAAATGATCTTCCAAAAAAAATTAGAGGACACATTAAATTTAGTAAAGATACAGTATACCCATGTGTTGTGGCCCCAATTCCCGAGCCTATGCTGTCAGAGGAAGAGGACCTGGAAGATGAGGGGGAGGAACTGGGAATGCCTTCCTCCCCAGGACCTTCCTCCCTGGCAATGCCTTCCTCCCCAGGACCTTCCTCCCTGGTAATGCCTCAGGTTCCATCAGACAACTGAGAGGAACAGCCTGAGAAGAATCAGGAGGAAGGTATGTCGGAGCAGCCCCTGACAGGGAGTGAAGAGGAGGAGTATTGGCTCGACCCCAAGCAGCGTCGTAGGGAGAAACGTGAGCAGCAATGTAAGAAGTGTGGGAGGGTCAGAGAGTGAGCTGAGTCATTGAGCCACACCCCACAGGGGATAAAAGTGGGTGTGTTTTCTCCTTAAACTTTGTACGGGACAAAGTTTAACCTTACTTCAGATTTTCTTCGTGAATGATTGTTTTGTGGACTACCTTGTGATTTTTATGAAGTAAAAGAACCATTTATCTCTGTGAGTAAAACTTTATTTTATAATTGCTGCCAGCTCGGACTTGGCAGGCAGGACGTGGTGGAATGCCAAGAATATTATCAGTTCCAAAGAATTAGCTCTGCGAAGTCCGAGCCAGCTTGCCTGCCTGTGTTTGTGTGTGTGTGTACTCCCTCACCTTTTGGAGGAAAGGGAAGGCGAGACAGAACACCCATGTTTCAATATCATCATGTTTTTTTCCTAAAAACTGGAAGTCTGTTGGATGCAGTTAATTCATTTCCACATGTGCCTGCCAAAATGATGTTTCTGTGAAGCAGAGAGGTCCAAGTGAAATAGGCTGGGAAGGAGCTGCATCAAATAACTGAATGACTCAATAGGCTTTGGCTGTGGGATCAAAACTCTAGGTATGTTGGAGTTTATCAGGGAATTCCAGATGTTGCAAATAGCAAGATTGAAAGGTTTAATAACAATGACAAATAAACCAACCAGGGAAGCAAGAAAGACTTGGAGCTAGAATGCATCTATGAAAAGAAATTGTGAATTAACAAATGTTAACATAAAACATTCTGAATAAAATAGGTTAAATAACCAGTCTTACCCTGATGAAATTGGGCAAATCACCAATCATTGAAGTCCAGCTCAGTGTCCATATACTTTGATAAGAATTGTGTGAAATCTTAGATACAAAAAAGTCACTAGCATTTATGTACTGAGCTGTAAAATTATCACTGCAATTTTGCAGAACGCTGTGGAGTTGATTGGCAGAGATGGACACTGGAATACCTGGAAGAAAATGGAAAAATAATAAAATAAGTAAAGTTTCAGATTAAAATCTGGTTTTAATCTCTGGCCTGAACAATAATCCTAATATGATGCAAATGATATGAGTGACATACAATATTAGAGTTATTTATACAAAGAAATGATATATGTCCATGATGGCGAACCTATAGCCTCTCTGTGGGCATGCAAGCTGTCACTCCAGCTCAGCTCCACCGCACATGCACATACACCTCCCACCAGCCAGCTGATTTTCAGGTCTCTGTTGAGCATGTGTGGTGGGTTGGGGAGCTCAGGGTAGGTGCGGCGCAGTTCTTGAAATAGACTTCTCAACTTTTATCTAATTTAAATTCCCAGGCATTTTTTTCCTTTTTATTCTATAATTTGTCCACTATGATTATTAATTCACATCATATTTTTAATTACTATTTGCATGGCATCAGATCTGACACTTGTGTTATTTTTGCTTTTTCTTGTCTTATCATTATTTTGCCTTTTATTACTTTATTATTATTTTGTTTAATTAAAGAAGTATACTGATGCATTTAAATAATACATATGATTATAAAAAAGCAGCCATAGATAGATTTCATCCATTATTTGTCTGTGCCCTAATTTTCAGGATGAATGGTCTATCTTGGCTAATCCTTTATTTGTAGAAGAGAATGCCAATTCTCAAGCTTACCTGGAATCACTTTGCGAGGCAGATGGATTTGAAAAGTTCCTCCAAGAGGTGGGCTTGCACTTTGCATCCTTTGGACAGTCAAATTTATTCCTATCTCATTCATAGACATCCACAATTGATCAGTCCCTTCTGGTCCCTTCACAGGTAAACCTCCACTACATGAAATAAATAAATAAATAAACAAAAGCAAGTTTTGCAGTACCATTCCTGTCTCAGAATGGGGCTACTTCAAATGCAACTCTAACAGGGGTCTCCAACCTTGGCAACTTTAAGACTTGTGGACTTCAACTCCCAGAATTCCTTAGCCAGCAAACCTTTTGGTGGCTGAGGAATTGTGGGAGTTGAAGTTCACAAGTCTTATTAAAGTTGCCAAAGGTGGAGACCCCTGCTCTAGAACAGGGGTCCCAACCTTTTGGACCTCAGGGACCACCAAACTCATAATTTTAAATTCCAGGGACCACTAATATGAATTTTGACTGACGGTGGCTTGCTGACGTTGATGGGAGAAAGAGATTTGATCTAACCTCTCTCTCTCTCTCTCTCTCTTTCACACACACACACACACACACACATGCACACACACACACACACACACACACAGAGGCAGGGGTGGGATTCAAATTTCTTAACAACCGGTTCTTGGGCGGGGCTTAATTTGTGTGTGTGGCTTGGTCATGTGACTGGCTGGGCATGGCTTGTATGTAAATATTATAAATATTTATGTAAATATTGAATTTTTTATTAAAAAAGAGCAATTTTTACCCAAAATCAGGCAAAGCAGGCAGGCAGATTGAGTTGCTCACAGAATCACAGATTCAGAGATCTATTTTTCTGCCATTGGCTATCTGTGTCTGTCACATAAAATTTGCTTGCAAGCAAACTCATAAAATTTGCAAGCAAGCAAACTCACAAAATTAAGTCACAACATACCATGTATGTAAATATTGAATTTTTTATTAAAAAAGAGCAACTTTTACCCAAAATCAGGCAAAACAGGCAGGCAGATAGCATTGCTCACAGAATCATAGATTCACTTAGAGATCTATGATTCTGCCATCGGCTACCTGCACTGAATAATAGAAGTTTCAGTCCTAAGGAAGGTCCGGCTCTGTTTTTAAGCAGAGCCAAAGATCTAAAGATTAGCTAGAAAGCAAGAAATCCAACTGTTTCCTGCTTTCTAGCTAATCTAAATCTCCCGGCACAGCAGAACAGCTGATGGTTGGGGGAAAAAAGGAAAAATAGAGACTTAACAGGCAAGTTTGCCAGGTAAGGAGTGAGTGGGTGGGGAGGGTTCCCGCGGGCCATTGTGTTCCCGCACAGCCTGGATTAATTGCTTTGAGGGGTGCTCTGGGGGTGACATTTCTATGCGAACCACCAAAATTTTCTCGTGGCCCACCAGTTGGCGACCACTGCTCTAGAATATTTGTTTATAGGTGTTCATTTCCAACCAGAAATCAGTAGGAAATCTACAAACAAGACACAAAGTAATTCTATTGTTGCTTTTTTTCTCATGTTTCCTAGGCAAGTGACATTTGAAGACATGGTGCCTCTAATCCTCAATGTGTAGAGGCAAATGTCTGGAATGGCAAAGTTACAAAACAACCAGAAGTCTTTTATTAAGCACTTTGAATAAAATAAGGAAAACTGAGAAAAAACAAATAGATTCTTATATAAATAATAGGTTTAATTACACATAACTCAAACTTGATTTTGTAGGCTTTTATTACAGACAATTCAAATTGTTTTCGATACCTATTATGCAAACATATTTTCAAACCTCATTGCAAAAAAAAGATTACAAAGCTAACATAAAGTTTCATTAATACAGTCCCTATGCAATTAGTAATGCATCATAAGAAGAAAAATAAATTAGAAAAGATTTGTTTTCCTTCTATCAGAGAAAAATACCAGTGGTTATATACAAAAGCCAACAAAAGTGTAAAAGTCAATAAGCAAATTATTCTTAATTCCTCACATTTACAAAAAGTAATAATTAAAATTTTCAATTCATCCATGGGATCCATGGCTGTGAAAATCTCAGCAACCACTAGATGGCAGTAGGAAAAGACATAAGACATCGAAATTCAAAGCTTTTACAGAAATATGCTTCAAAGTTTAAATTTTGGGAGACAGTTGAAGAGTGCTGATTTAAGATATAATGTCGATAGTTACAGTTCTGGGAAGACTTCTAGGAAAACAAAAACCTAATTTATTGGCTGTGTTCAATTACAGATTTGCCATAGTTATAGTAAGTAGATTTCTAGTATCCTGGATATATTTATAAACTAAGCACATTAGGAAAACTTCACCAAGCATTCTTAATTAGTTTATGTGCCAATATAAAGTGTAAACAAAGACACAATATGTCTGCCACATACAGGCTGACTATCATCCTGTGATTCTGTGAAACTCTTGTGGAGATTACTAGCTTTGTTTATCTTTTCTAAACCTTCATTCATTTTCAAAACTAATCCAAAGTGTCAAATAAAATTAACATATAAATCTCACTGTTTTTCAAATATAAAGTGTCCCTTTAAAAATTCAGTCCATTCATTTTATTAATAAGTTGTGTAAAGTTAGGCTAACACTGGTCTTGGTTACTATATAAGTAAATGTTTATTTCAAAGATCTTTCTAAGATTTAGTCTAGTATTTAAATTTAAATTTCATGCAAGATTTCTGCTAGAGCTGACTTTAAAAAAAATTACCGTATATGCCGGCGTATAAGACGACCCGGCGTATAAGACGACCCCCCAACATTTCCACTCAAAATATAGTTTGTTATATACTCGCCCCCTCTTCCGCACGCCTTCCACTTTTGCACTTTTTTTTTTTTTTGGAGGCACTTTTGTCTACCGTGGAAACGAATCCCGTGAAGCTGAAAGGAGCAGCCAGCCTTCTCCCAGCTCCCAAGGAAACGAGGCTCGCACCGCCCGGGCTCCGCTGAGGTATCCGGCTGGGGCTGTCAGGAGTTGTTACCGCTGGCGCGGCTCCGCGCGGCTCCAGTCCCGCGTTGCCTCGGGAAGGGAAAGGCAAAAAGGAAGAGCCGCGGCGGCGCTTTGCAATGGCAGCAGCGGCTCCTGGTTTTGCCTTTCCCTTCCCGAGGCAACGCGGGACTGGAGCCGCGCGGAGCCGTGCCAGCGGTAACAACTCCTGACAGCCCCAGCCGGATACCTCAGCGGA